TCCACATTTTAATATACTTGTTTAATAAAGGTTTTTATGATTTTTCAACAATACATTTTTACTTACCCACTTATCCCCCTATACAATAAAATGGTATTTAAAGTCAACTGACCTTTGGATTTCAATGTGAACTTACTTTGCAGAAAATGCATTAATGAAAACAAAAACAAAACAAAAAACCACTGCCATTGAGTCAATTCCAACTCATGGTGACCCTACAGAACTACAGGATAGAACTAACAGGAGAGAGCTACAGGATAGAACTCACCGCCCCGTTGGTTCTCCGAGACTGTATTCTTGATGGGAGCAGAAAGCCTTATCTTTCTCACATGAAGACAAAACTATCTTAAAAGAATGCTCAAACTACCACAGGTTCTAATCACTAGATAATGCATTTCTTGGCCATTTTAAAAGCCGAGCAGTTTAGAAGACAAAAAAATAAAAACAAGACTCATTTATTTATTAAATAAGCATTATTTAATGCCTACTGACTCTTGCTCTGTGAGAATCAAATATATATTCAAAAATTACAATGTGGGAAACACAAACTAATATGGTACAATTATATACAAAGAAACAGATATGTTAAGTGATAGTAATAAGACTAAGCTAATTAAGAAAGGCTTCCTTTGGTAGATCATTATTCAATCAGCTAATGACATTATTCAATCACACAAAAAAGGAATGTATTAAGTATTTTCGGTAAAAGATTATATTGGAAGACTAGTGAGATAAATTTAGAGAAGACAGTAAGCCTAACAGACTGATTTTACATTCAACATTTATATTCATATGATAAGGAGCATACTATAGGTAACATATTATCAAGATTTGGATAATAGAAGACTGATAGAAAATGTTCGCTTATTAAGATATTTCCCTCCAACTTTTATGGGCAGACTACAATACTCGAGAGAGAAAAGCCAGCAAACTGTTAGTCAGCTCAGGGTCAAAGCAATGAAGATCTGGGTCAGTGGAATTGAAGAAAATCTCATGTAGACCAGGTGATGGGATAGGCCGTTATGGGATGCTGTTATTGTTGAATGCCTTGTGTGAATTCCAATTATGGCGATATTATAGGGCAGAGAAATGATTAAGGTTCCTAAGGCTGTGATTTCTTACAGGAACAGAAAGCTAGATCTTTTCTCCTAAAGAGCAGCTGGTAATTCCAAGCACTAAGTGTTTGGTTAGCACCCCCAGGGTGAATGGAGCTCTTTAAGAAGAGCCAAGAATTACAAAAGCATTAAAAATTCTGGGGCTAGTAGAAAACTTTAAGGTCCACAGGTCCCAAATGCACAGCAGATCAAGAAAACGAAAAGTTCTACAGCATTGATTTAAATGTTTCTTATAATAATTGCTTCCAATTGTTTTAGAACTGCTTATGAATTGGATGTCTCAAAGTTAGTGAACAAGCTTTTGAATTAAATTTCACATTATGGAGAGAATAAAATCCAACTACAAAATTTTAAATCAGTTCACGGTACTTTTCTACTTTTGATGGAAGATCTCTGATACTATTATTCTGAAATAGGTAACCCATACAGGGGAGTAGGAGTTGGAAGGATTTAAATATAAATCTTGATGTAGACACAGTAAAACTGTAATTGCTCTTGCATAATTCTACTTACTCTCTCTTAAGACACCTGCCTCTGACTGGAGGAAATTCAACTCAGGCTATAGGACTGGGTGGTCCTTCTTAAGTGGTAATTTAAAGTTGGTCATAAATTGTAGCAGGCAAGTAGCACATCAAAGTCACCAACTGTGTCTCAGACTGAATTTTACCTTTGTTCTAATGAAAAAGGCCTCCAGTGACAGTGTAATAAAAAGCAGTGGGGGTGGGGCTGGGAGGAGGAATCAACCTAGCATTTAAATTTGTTTTTCATCAAAAATAGAAACTTTTGAATTCCTAATGCTTTGTAGTAGATTTCTAATTCTATTATAATTCATCGTAATCAATTTGTAAAAGTTGCCATCACCACAAAACTTGAAAAGAGCTTGCACTAGCTATAATTTATTAAATAAAAGTAATCACAAGTCTTCTAATTTCCAATAATGATCAACAAATCACCAGTAACTTGAGCTGGAGAAAAAAAAAGCTGAGGTCCAGTTCTTAATGAAAAAGGGTGCTTATTAAAAAGATGGATAAAATGATTAAATGGACTTCCATGCTGACGAAGGGCATTTCCTCTTTACTGAAATTTGGAAATGTTAAGTGTGCATGTGAGCGGGACACACACACACACACACACACACACACTAAAGGAATAAACCAGAGACAAACCCGGATAAGACAAGCGAGGAATTATGAGTTATATTTCATTTCAGAGCAAGCAATCTCAAACGTTTATATTATTACTATATATTACTAAATGTAAACTGTGTGTGTAGTAATAATGATGAAAAGTGATGAAATGTTATCAGGATGTGAAAAAA